CACCTCCGTGGATTGAACACGGGACCTTAAGATCTTCAGTCTCACGCTCTCCCAACTGAGCTAAGGTGACTTGATGAGGTGACAAGGCTCGGTGGTGTAGTGGTATCATGCGTGCTTCGGGTGCACGAGGTCTCGGGTTCAAATCCCGGCCGAGCCCTTTTTGATTTCATTTTGTTTCTTGCATTCTGGCGCTCCCTTGCTGACGAGCGTTCGACGCTGCCGGCATACCAAGTCTGCATTCAGCCCAAGCCATCCCAGTGAAGGTGGCCGAGTTGGTCTAAGGCGCTAGTTTCAGGTACTAGTCTCTTCGGAGGCGTGGGTTCGAATCCCATCCTTCACATTTTGTTTTTCTGTTGTTGGCGTTGGTTGACTGTCTGTGACTTGAACAGATGTCGCGAAAAGTGGATGTCATAGCTGGGGTTTGAACCGATGACCTCTTGCTTGTGGGCTTTGGTTGAAGCAGGCTAGTGTTTGTGTTGTTTGAGTTGAATACAAATTGAACCTACTCTACCTCCTCTTGATATTTGCTTTGCTTTTGAGTGGAATAACATGTGCGCTGTGTCTTGAGAGGACAAAACAAAGGTTTATAAGGCAAGGAAGGGATGGGCAGTCTTCCCAGCTGCCTCCAGTCCCCAAATCTGCAGAAACAAAAAAGTGTCTTCGTCCAGGTTCGAACTGGAGACCGTCTGTGTGTTAGACAGACGTGATAACCAACTACACCACGAAGACGTGATGATTGAGTCCTTTGAATGTGGTTGGGCGCAAGCCCAAACTTTGAAACCAAAAAGTGCAAAAAGAGATGCATGGTCCGGGAATCGAACCCGGGTCCACCGCGTGGCAGGCGGCGATTATACCACTAAACCAACCATGCTTGCTGTGAGCGTTCCGGTTTGAGCTTGAGAGCGTACCACCCTCCATGGAGCAGAAAATGGCATGCTTTGGGTGGGGATTGAAACGGCGGCCACCTGTTTGCCAATCGCCAACCTGGCACCGCGCTCCTTTGCGCCCCTGTGGGCG